ATTGAGATGTGCAAAGTCTGAATGGAATCCTGTTTAAGTGTTTTAAGAGCTTGATGAATATTCAAAATTTCGACCTTTTGTGGGGGAGGTACTTGATGGAGTGGACCTATATTATCCATTTTTGCACCTGACCTAGAACTGACGTAAATATCAGGATTTGCAAAGTTGGAACAAAATCGGATTATCGATTCTCTTTCTGTGCAGAAAATATATATATTTTTGAAAATCTCGATCATTTGTGTGGGAGGTACCAGAAGGAGTGGACCAATATATTCCATCTTAACACCAGACCTTGGGTTAACATAAATATTGGGATGTGTGAAATTTGAAGACAATCGGACTTTTACATCACATTTTATGAGAGTTGTAATTAAAAGTTGTATTTAAAATGTTTACACTTTGTGGGGGGAGGTACCAGAAGGAGTGGACCGATATTGTCCATTTTTACACTTGTCCTAGCACTTACGCAAATATTAAGATTTGCAAAGTTTGAGCAAAATCGGGTTATCACTTCTCTTTCTGTGCAAAAAATATATATTTGTTAAAATTTCGACCATTTGTGGGGAGGTACCAGAAGGAATGGAGCTATATATTCCATCTTAACATCAGACCTTGGGCTAACATAAATATAGGCAGGTGTGAAATTTGAAGACAATCGGACTGTTACATCACATATTATGAGAGTTGTAATTATTGAAAATTTTGACCATTTGTGGGGGAGGTACTTGATGGAGTGGACCGATATTGTCCAATTTCACACTTGACCTAGCACCGACGCAAATATTAAGATTTGCAAAGTTGCAGCAAAATCGGATTATCGCTTCTCTTTCTGTGGAAAAAATAATTTTTTTGAAAATTTCGACCTTTTGTGGGGGAGGTACCAGAAGGAGTGGACCGATATTGCCCATCTCCGAACTCGATCTAAGTTTGACAAAAATATTACGATGTACCAAGTTTGGTCCAAATCGGTTACTCCCTTCAAGAGTTCGCACCTGCCAGCCAGACAGACAGACGGACGGACGGACGAACGGACATCGCTAGATCGACTCCAAATGTTCTGAAACGGATTTGGTCCTCAGAGACCTAGGGTCTAAAACCGTTATTTCGACTAGGCACGTTTTGACCTTACCAAATGATATATACCCTCTGTAGCCATATGTCTGATGGTATAAAAATAGCTGATCGAAACAACAACTAATGTTTAGTAAACTCTCAGTTTGCAACTTTTGCAACATTTCGCTCTCTTTCAGAAAACATCAAACTGAACATCACTCAACTCATCTAACAATTTCTTTAAAACACTGAGTAAAGACATGCACAAATAATATGGGATATTTAGTTCTGCTCCATATTGATTGATAAGGGGCTCCAATTTTGAATAGATTTGTTGCAAAGCAACAACATCAAGTTAATTTTTTGGAAATTATCAACTGGCTTATCTAGGAATCTATTTTTGCTTTAAAATATCAATTATTCATACCCAAACCGATTTTCACTGAAATCTAGTGTTGTTTGAAGAACTTTGTTTCCCCCCTTTCCCGCCATGAGCGAAGTGTGTATGAAGTTCGTTGAAGACGAAATAATAATATGTGTTTTTTTTTTAGAAATTCCCTTACTCACTGCTTAATTTGTTGGGACTGTCAGTTATACGCTTAAGACAAAAAAAATCGCTTAATCCAGACATAAGTAATGGAAAAAAAATTGTTTTTTAAAACATTTGTTGTTTCAAGAGACAATGCGATTGGGGACGCTCGTGCAGGTGCCAGTTAAAAAATATAATTAACTACACTGTGCCACACAAAAATAAGTAATTACAGGGAGAACTCAGCAGACTTTGAAAGCAAAGCTAAAAAAGAATACACGCATTGAAAGTTTGTTTTCATCTTCTCTCTTACATACAGGGTGAGATGAAAAAACTGCAACCAATTTCAGACTGCTGTCATTTCTAAGCCACTCGTCCGACAGCTGTTAAAATTATTCCAGTGACAGCTCATAATACTGTAGACCTACGAAATTATTTTGATGAGAATTTTCCAGAAAAAAGTTATTCGTGATGGAATTCAAGCGTGATAGTCTGATTTCTTTATATTTGGCTGGAAAACCACAAGTGGCTATCGTTAGAGCACTCCAGCATTTAAATGTGAATAAATCTTTTCTTGTCTAGTACCATCGCTCGTTACCATGATACTGGTAGCGTAGCCCGACGTCAAGGAAGTGGACGGAAGAAAACAGCAACATCAGCAGAAATGGTTCGAAATGGAACGAAATGGAAAAGGATCGCAAACTGCGTCGCAGTGACCGAAAAATAGTTCATGAGCTGAACATATTGCAATATTCCTTTCAGCAAATATTGAAAAATGAGCTCGGGTTAAAGCCACTGAAATTCCAAAAAGTGCAAGAGCTTACACCGCAATAGAAAGTAAATAGATAGAATAGATAGAGATAAACAGTTGCTTCGCTTGGCCGAAAGTGGTGAACTGTCGAATTTGGTTTTCTCCGATGAGAAAACATTCGTGTGTTCGCAGTTTCTGAACACAAAATGATCTTGTTTACTTGCCAACGAGCTCAGCTGAAAATGTACAACTTCGGTTGGCCACCTGAACTCAAGCGCCGGCCATGGTGATGGTGTGGGCCGCCATAACAGCCAAGGGTCGCTCTCCGCTCGAGGGTGTATCGATGCTTTGAGCACGCAAACATTTTGGCCACAGACCTTGGACATTCCAATAGGACTCAGCACCATCGCACTCAGCACTCGTGGACACCAAAATCTCCAGATACCAATCCGTTGGACTATTGTGTCTGGAGTGTTTTGGAAAGCAAAGTTGACACAAAAAAATACCAAAGTGTCGATCACCTCAAGCAACCGATTCGCCGGGAATGGGCCAAAATATCGCAGAGCAACAATCGGGCAGCGTGTGACGATTTCATTGGCCGTTTGAAGGCCATAATTCGTGCCAAAGGTGACCAATTCGAACAAATCTAAACTTATTCAAAAATGTGTTTCATTCAATAAAATTAAAAAAAAAAAACAAGTAAAAAAAACATTAAGTTCGTCCGGACCGAACTTTTAATACCCTCCGCCTTAGAGTAATAGAAACACTTAAACCAATTATGACCCACAAATACCAATTTTTAGACATATTCGTGGGAAAATTTGGCAAAAATCATCAAAATACCGAATATCGGGAGGTACCGCTATATAGGGCTATATACAAATGCGTGGACCTATACATACAATATTTCGTCAACGGAGCTAGAACTCATTATGACCAAAAAATTCCAATTTTTAGACAAATCCGGGATAAAATGTGACAAAAACCATCAAAATACCGAATATCGGAAGATACCGTAATATGAAGGCTATACCAAAGCGTGGACCTATACATACAATGTTTCGGCGCACGATCTAGGACCCATTATGACCTACAAATACCAATTTTCAGACAAATCCGTGAAAAAATGTGGTAAAAATTATCAGAATACCGAATATCGGGAGGTACCGTTATATGGGGGGTATACCAAACCGTGGACCTATACATACAATGTTTCGTCGCACGAACTAGGACCCATTATGACCTACAAATACCAATTTTCAGACAAATCCGTGAAAAAGTGTAGCAAAAATCATTAAAATACCGAATATCGGGATGTACCGTTATATGGGACTATACCAAAACGTGGACCAAAATATCTCATTTTCAATACCAACCATCCTAGACACAATACAAATTATTCTGCTAAATTTTGACGCTCTACGCCAAATAAACCGTTAAATCGTCTTACAATTTTATGCTGATTATGAATATATATTCATTATGGGGTCTACGATGGATATTTAGGGATGTTACAAACGGAATGACAAAGTTAATATACCCTTCTTTCCAAGGTGGAGGGTATAAAAATTTTAAAATTAAGGCGTTTGACTTTGTTGCAGTTTTTTTATCTCACCCTGTATTTATAAGATTAAACTCCGATTTAAGGTATTTCTTACTTTGTAGTGAAATGTTGGTATTTTATATTTTTTATGTAGAAACGCCAGTAGCAACGTTTTGGTACAACGCTTATATAATATATCCCCGGATTTTAGTAAGTTCCAGGGTCTTTTCCACATAAATGATAGTTTGGACTAAAACTGGCCTTCAAAGGGAACACCGATAGGGGCCGATATCGTCATTTAAGAATATAAAACCTTCAAAAAGTTGTTCTCAATATTGAATACGATTCTCTCCATATAGAAGATCATGAAATGGGTCTATGCTGGGCAGAACCCCTGCATAAGTAATTTGTGTCATAGGCTGTAGTAACGATTCAGAATTTCAAATACGAAGGTTGAAACAATTCCGGTGGATAATGTCGCCAATATCACGAAATCACGAATATCGGGAGGAGCCGTTATATGGAGGTATACGATATCGTGGACCGATATAGCTCATATTCGAACTTGACCTGCCTGCAGACTAAATACGTATCTGGGCAAAATTTAAGCTTCCTATTTTTATTCGTTTTAATTCCTATCTTAATTTGTGATTACAACGGATAGATGGGCGGACAAGGCTAAATCGTCTTAGAATTTTGCTGAACGGAATGGAATGACAATCTTAATATACCCTCCATGCTAGGTATGGTGGGGGGTATGAACATTTTCTCTTTAGAGAAAACCATTAAAAGTATTCTCTCTGTACAAATCTGTCTTTGGTCTATAAAATACTTTTATAAGGTCTTCTACCCACAGCATTCCTCCGGGTGTCCTTGTTTTGTGGAGCACCTATAAACAAAAAAAAAAAAATCTCCTCTCTCTCAAAAATTTTCAACATTTCAATATTTTTCCTCTTTTTGGAATTCGCTTCACTGCATTCGCATTGTATTTCCGTGTCGATTGATAATTTTACGAATTCGCTGATAACACTTGCGTGGCAACTTTGCGAATGACCCTCACTGCGATACCTAAAAAAAGAAGAAGAGGAAGCAAAGAAAAAACAAGTTCAACCCAAACTGACTACCTCATTTGCGATAGTCGCCCACAGTCGTTTTGAATTCACGCACTGCTCTAAAGGTTTCGACGGAATGTTGCTCATCGCTGTAGTGTTTTCGGTGGTAGTAATTATCTTAGCTTTGGGCTTTCTATATCATCGCAATTTCAGTTACTGGACGCGTTTTAAGAGTGTCCCCAGTGGACCGGGTCGAATATTCAGTGGGAATTTTTTCGATTTCATAACATTTAAGACTAATTTCGGTTATCATCTTAAAACGATCTATGATGATGAGAAATTCGCCGCAGCTCCGGTAGTGGGTGTTTATGGGCTGTACAAGCCATGTTTGCTGATACGAGATTTGGATCTGATCAAATCGGTGCTGATCAAAGATTTCGAGTATTTTCGCGATCGTTTTACCAAACTGGACTATCTTCATGACCCCTTGGGTGGGCAAATGATGTTCTTTGGCGACTATCCGTTGTGGAAGGAAATGCGCACCAAGCTGACGCCAACCTTCACCAGTGGGAAGCTGAAGAACATGTATCCCTTGATCCAACAGGTCGGAGAAAATATGTCGAAATTTTTGCATTCCCAGCCAATGGTTTTTCAAACTGAATTAAGAGATTTGTGTGCTCGATTTACCACCGATGTTATAGCCACAACGGTGTTTGGTTTCAAATCGAATTCCCTGGAAAATCCCTCCGAAGATTTCCACAAGGAAGTGCGTCGGCTAACCTATTTCACATGGCACCGGGCATTCGATTTTATTGTGGTCATGTTTGCCCCCAAGTTGCAACGGCTTATGGGCTGTAAGATTCTCTATCCCGAGACGGAACAGTTCCTTAGGGTGGCCATAACCCAAGCTATTGCAGAGAGGGAGACCTCCAGCAGTGGTGGTGAGAAACGCAATGATATCATTGATATTTTTGTGAAATTGAAACAAGAAGCCGAGCAGAAGGGGGAGTGGGAGATGGATAAATTCATGGAATGTCTCATGGCCCAGGCCGGTATTTTCATGATCGGAGGATTTGAAACCTCATCGACAACAATGTCCAATGCCCTGCTGGAATTGGCCAAGCAACCGGAGTTACAATCACATTTAAGGGAGGAGATTAAGGAGGCATTTGCCGAAGGCAAGGGGGAGATTTCATATGACGCCATAAGCAAAATGAACTACTTGGACATGGTAATCTATGAAACCTTGAGATTATATCCCGTATTACCTTCGCTGGAAAGACGTTATGCCACACCACCAGGGAAGCCGGCTTATTCCTTGAAACCTTACTGTGATTTTACCCTACCCGAGGGTATGCCGATTTATATATCACCCTATGCCCTGCATTATGATGAGAAGGTAGGGAGACACTTGATCTGTAAAAAATGTTTTTTAGAAGTAAGAATTGTTTTTCGCTTTTTTTCAGTATTGGCCAAATCCCCGGAAATTTGATCCAGAACGCTTTTCATTGGAGCAAAAAGCCAACAGACATCCCATGGCCCATTTGCCGTTTGGTAATGGTCCCCACAATTGCATTGGCACCCGTCTGGGCATGATACAAGTGAAAGCCGGTCTATCGTATATTCTAAAAGATCACTATGTCCGGGTGTGTAATCGCACGGAGATCGAACCGAAATTCGAAGCCAAGGCAAACGTTTTACAGGTTAAGGGAGGAGTGTATTTGGAGATTGTTAAGGATGAGAAATAAATGAGGGTCTATAAATAGTGAAGTGATTATTGGAATATGGGAAAAGGGTGTTGAAGCTAAATTGCATCGCTAGTGGATCGAAGGAAAGCCTTCTTGCTGTAGAACATCTGAGGATGGACTTTTTCATTTAAACGACCTTAGAAAGCGGTTCTGCTTAAAGACGTTATGAAGAAAATATATATTTTTTAACAGAAAGTGTACCAAATGTGCAGCCGAGTAAAGTCATGCATATAAAGTAGATTTGATATGTGCCTATAGAAGACTTACAGAAGATCTTCCCTCTATATTCCAGATGATCTCAAGAATGTTTTGTAGAAAATCTATAAAGGATTCTGAAGAAAAAGAAGGCCTGAGGGAGTTAATCGTTTCTTCTCTTATTTGCGATTGAAAAAGGCTATATACGGGGTGAGATAAAAAAATTGCCACAAGGTCAAACACAAATGTCGGAAATGGCATCTACTTTTGAAATAAGTTTAGGTTTGTTCGAATTGGTCACCTTTGGCACGAATTATGGCCTTCAAACAACCAATGAAACCGTCATACGCTGCCCGAATGTTGCTCTGCGGTATCTGGGCCCATTCCCGGCGAAGCGCTTACTTGAAGTGATCGACACTTTGGTATTTTTAAGTGCCAACCTTGCTTTTCAAAATACTCCAGACACACTAGTCCAACGGATTAGTATTCGGAGATTTTGTTGCGGTATCTGGGCCCATTCCCGGCGAAGCGCTTGCTTGAAGTGATCGACACTTTGGTATTTTTAAGTGCCAACCTTGCTTTCGAAAATACTCCAGACACATTAGTCCAACGGATTGGTATTCGGAGATTTTGCTGGCCATTGTGCGCTGAGTCCTGTTGGAAAGTCCAAGGTCTGCGGCCAAAATGTTTGCATGCCCAAGGCTTTAATACACCCTCCAGAATATTTTCGCGATAATAATCGGCATTTTTTTTTTCCACGGTCGATTAATACGAGGGGAGAGCGACCATCGGCTGTTACAAACTGCTGGACAACAAATGTTTTCTCATCGGAGAAAACTAAATTCTGCAGTTCACCACTTTCGGCCAAGCGAACAACTCTTTAGTTATTTCGAGTCTACTTTCTTTCTGTTGCGGTGTAAGCTCTTGAACTTTATGGAATTTCAACGGCTTTACCCCGAGCTCATTTTTCAATATTTGGCGAATAGAATATTGCGATATGTTTAGCTCACGAGCTATTTTTGGGCCACTGCGACGCAGGTTTCAATCAAGTCGCTTCTTTACTTTTCTAACCAGTTCTGCTGATGTTCCTGTTTTCTTCTGTCCAATTCCTTGACTTCCGTCGGGCTACGCTACCAGTATGAGTGCTATAACGATAGCCCCTCGTGGTTTTCCAGCCAAATATATAGAAATCACACTATCACGCTTGAATTCCATCACGAATAACTTTTTTTCTGGAAAATTCTCACTAAAACCCAAGATCTGTGGTTAAAATGGTATATATCGGTCTTCTCTTTCGGGTACCATATACAGAAAGGGTCAATATTTTGAATATCCATGAAGCTCGTAAAGCGCGAAATGAACATCTGATTCCATTCAGTTTTGGCACATCTCAATATTTTCATCTATACACGATTTGTTATAAAGATGATAGAGATCGGACTATTTCTTCTGGTACCTGCCCCACAAAGTGTCAACATTTTAAATATCCATGAAGAGCATAAAATGCGAAATTAACATCCGATTCCATTCAGACTTGGTACATCTCAATATTTCCCTCGATTGCTCTGTTTCCTATTTTTAGTTTCCTTGTTTCTACCAGTTACACACCCATAAGATTCTTTATCATTGGCCTGCCCAAAACACTCGCACAAATTCATATCAGCTTTTAAGAATGCATTTCGAATAAAAATATATTTTCAGTTCATTAGCCTCAATGAATTGAAATCAATATTTTAAATTGCATGTGAGCCGTAATTCCGGTTTAATTAATTGAATTTCAAGATACTGATAAAATTTGAATGAAAGTGAATTATCGCTTCAATATGAGAAGTGTTGTAGTTATAAAGGGCCTCTCAAAGCCATACTTCCGGAAAAAATCAGGCTCAAAAATAAAGAAGTAAAAAAATTAAGCTCGGCTGGGCCGAAATTTTAATACCCCCCACCATTGGGTAAATGAAACATTTTATGTTAAAGTATTTGAATTCCAACGTGCCCACTTTAAACTACAAATACAAGTGAAATCGTTTGGGTAATGCTGTTAAACTTTTCAAAAAACCATAAAGTGGGTGAGACCGATATATGGGGGCTATACCAAAACGGGAACGTGTATAGAAAATTTTATACTTCAAGAATTGTCATCTATCAAATTTTCTAAGCTGCCAAATTCGAAACAATTTCGTGGGTAGATGTGACTAGGAATATCAAAATAACCACCGCTGTGGGTATCGTTATTTGTGCGTTATGGGAAAAAGTGGACCTGAATAATCTACATTTTTCCACCATTATGACCTACAAATGCCATTTTTTAAACGAATACGTGGGAAAATGCGTCAAAAATCGTCAATATGCTGAATATCGGGAGATACCGTTATATAGGAGCTATACTAAATCGTGGACCTATATATTCTATGTTTCGCCACCGGAGCTAGAACCCATTATGACCTACAAATTCCAATTTTTAGACAAATCCGTGGGAAAAATGCATCAAAATGCTGATATTCGGAGGTAGCATTATGTGGGGGCTTCCAAAAACGTGGACTTATACATACTATGTTTCGACACCGGAGATAGAACCCCTTATGACCTACAAATTCCAATTTTTAGACAAATCCGTGAAAAAATGTGCCGAAAATCATCAAAATATCGAATATCGGGAGGTACCGCTATATGACGGCTATGCCAAAACGTGGACCGATATATCTCATTTTCAATACCAATCATCGTAGACACAACACAAACTGTTCTGTCAAATTTTTAAGCTCTACGTCAAATAATGTAGAATGTATTGAGAATATCCGACCGAGTTCAGTTTAGAAGAAACCATATCAAGTTTGACGAAAATCGGTTCAGATATTGCTATAGCTTCCATATATATGTTTTATCCGAGTTGGAGTGAAAGTCCCCCACATGCGTAATATGCCCTCCACAACAATGATCTATGGTACCAGCAATCAGTTACAGCCCAGAAATATGTGTTTGAAATCTTCTCAAGATCGGTTCAGATTTGGGTATAGCTCCCATATATATATCTTTATCCGATTTCAGGTTTTTGTGCACTAAATGGCCAATATCAGCCCAAATGGACTGAATATTGGCACTTCCGACGGAATTTAGCTTAAAAGCAAGTGCTTCAAATATTTAGTGAAAATCGGTTCAGATATAGCTATAGCTCCCAAATATATGTTTCATTCGATTTAATGTTAAAGTCCCTCACATGAGTAATATGCACTCCACAACAATGATATTTGATACTGGGCATCAGATATAGCTCGAAAATACATCTGCCAAATTTTATCGAGATCGGTTCAGGTTCTTATATAGTTTCGATATTCATGGAATGTTAGCGCAAATTGAATATATTTTTTCACATTCAACCGAAATTTACCATTTGAGGAAACCCGGTCCGGTATATCTTTTGCTCCCAGAAATTTTTTTTCCTTATCGAATATATAATCCTTATCTACTACACATAAATTCCCAATATAAACTTGTTTGTTACGGGAGCTCTACTAAATACGCATAGTGGTGGAGGGTATCATATGATGGGCTCCGTCCGAATTTTGACCTTTCCTTACTGTTTTTTTTTGTTTCAATTGTATATTTTATTTTAATCAATTTTTAAGTCCAAAATGCATTAGTTGTTTCAGAAATATTATTTCGAGCATGACAGGAATATTTCTGTAGATGTCATGGATGTCGGTTCTTTCTACTAGCGATCGTGTTATCGACTTGTTATTTGTTTTGCAATTAATTTCAATTTGAATTTTGACTGTCTAATTATCTTCCAAAACACAAATAATTTTCAATCAGTCTTGATTGCATTTTTTCAACAAAATGTTGTTGCAAATTTCGGCACTCCTTGTCGTCTGTGTGCTGGGTCTTATTTACCATCTTTTCAAAGTGAATTTTTCCTTTTGGAAAAAATACAGAAATGTTCCAAGTGTTCGTGGCCAGATCTTTTGTTCCAACCTTAAGGATATTATTTTGTTTAGGACAAATTTTGGATTCGCTCTGAGGGAAGTTTATGAGGATCCCAAATTCGCCAACTCATCTGTGGTGGGTGTTTATGGTCTCTACAAACCGAGTTTGCTGATACGCGACCCGGAACTCATCAAGTCTATATTGATCAAGGATTTTGATAGATTTTGTAATCGCTACTCGAAACCGGATGTCCACACCGATCCCATTGCTGCGAAGAGTATATTTTTTGGTGACTATAAATTGTGGAAGGAAATGCGTTCGAAATTTTCCCCCATGTTTTCGAGTGGAAAATTGAAAGCCATGTTCCCACTCCTGATGAATGTGGGTGCAAATATGAGCGATCACATGGCGAGGCAGGGACAGGTGTTTTGCATGGAAGTAAAGGATGTGTGTGCCCGCTTTACCACCGATGTCATTGCCACCACAATATTTGGTTTCTCTTCCGATTCTTTGAAGAATCCCGTGGAAAAAATGCACATTGAAATTAGGAAATTGGGTTTCTTTGATCTGCGAAGAGCCCTACAAGTGGTCATTATATTTTTTGCCCCCAAATTAGTTCGACTTTTTGGGGCTAAACTGTTTGAAAAAAATTGCGAAGAGTATTTGGTAGCCTCTCTACAGCAGATTATCCAGGAAAGAGAGGAAGGCGGTCGGATACGTAATGATTTAATCGATATTATCATAAAACTTAAACAGGAAGCTTTCTTCGAAGGCCCCAAGGACCTCGCCTCCTTTATGGAAACCATGTACTCCCAGGCCATTGTATTTTTGGCAGCTGGTTATGAGACCTCGGCCACCACAATGTCCTTTGCCCTCTTTGAGCTGGCCAAGCAGCCGGAAGTGCAAGAAAAACTACGAAA